GGCACCACCTGCATAGAGGAGTAAATACGTAAATCTAAGGTTCAAAGAGAGAGAAGGGATGTCTCAGAGACCTCTTTATCAGGAAGGAATTTGGGGAGCCGGTACCACTTAATCCCTGAGCCCTTTGGGGTGAAAGCCCGAGCAGAGGTCAAACTCTGCCTTGGATCTTAAACCCTTATCAGCGTCTTAAGATTGGCCCTCAACAACCTCATATGTCTCCTGACCCAGGATCTGCACTACTCCAGGACCCTGGCGTCTTCAAAGGAAGATCCTGCTTCCTCAGTAATAGGCATCCCTGCAGAATGGCTACCTAGATGGTTCAGTGGATAGAATGCTAGGCCTAGAGTCAGGAAGACCTGAGTACAAATCTAGCCTCAGACACCTGCAAACTACATAACCCTGAACAAATGACTTAATCTCGGGGCGGGGGGCTGCTAGAGCACTGGCCCTGAAGTCAGGAGGACCTGAGTTCAAATGCAGCCTCAGACCAAACACTTGACACTTACTAGCTGTGTGACCCTGGGCAAGTCACTTAACCCCAATTGCCTAAAAAAAAATGACTTAATCTCTGTTTGCCTTAATCCACTGGAGAAGGAATGGCAAACCATTTCAGTATCTTTGCCAAGAAAACATTATGGACAATGTTGATGTGTTATGGTTCATGGGTTCACATAAGAGTTGGATATAACTGAACAACAACAGAATGAGTAGTCAGGCAGCCAGGCTAGAGGTGGGGGAACACTTTCAGAGGATGTTAGGTCCTCACTGCTCACCCTGGCACCTCTGCCCCTACCCTGCACACATGCGCGCATGCACACACACACACACACACACCACACACACACACACACACATACACACACATACACACACACCTACTCATAAGGGAGGTTTTACGCAAGGCCAGGAGAAAGAGCTTCAAGGAGAGCCAGAGAGGAGCAGACACAGAAAGCATAGGAGCAGGCAGCCACTGGTGGCAGCTGCCTGTGGCTCAGGGATCAAGCACTGGAACACTGACCTTGGCTTTGCAGTTCTCTCGTCAAGACCCTTCCCGAGACCACTGCACCCCATAATACAGCTTGGAAGCAAATGAAGAGGCCTACTAGGGCATTTTTACCTTCTTCCTGCCCCTGCCCTCTTCTCCCCCACCAGGAATAGTTATAGGGACCTTATCACTAAAGACCGTGTCCTTCCCCCAACCCTCTAGGGAAAATGGAAATCTACTAGTTGAATTTCTTTAGCAGCAGCAGCAGCAGCAGCAACAACAACAATCCTTTACATAATTGGTGGATTGGATTAAAAAATGAGCACAGTAATTCAGTAAGCAGACCATGTTGTGCTTCTTCCACTGGCATCTATGTATCAGTGTGAAATATCTTTTCAGCTGTAACCAAGTGAAAAAGCAGGTAGGTGATGCCTAGAAGGATAGCCTTCTAGATCTAGAATAAGGAAGATCTGAGCTCAAATCCTTTCTCAGACATTTAGTGGCTATGTGACCTTGGATAAGTCTCTTGAGCTCTCTAAATCTGTTTCCTCATCTGTGAAATGGGGATGGTCATACTAGCACTTACCTCATAGGGCTGTTAGAAGGATTCAGTGAGATGATGGAAAATGCTACCCACATCCAGAGAAAGAACTGTGGAGTCTAAATGCAGATGGAAGCATACTATTTGCTCTCCTTTTCTTTTGTTGTTTTGTTTTGTTTCTTTCTCATAGCTCTTCCCATTAGTTCTAATTCTTCTTTACATCATGACTAATGTGAAAATATGTTTAATATGAATGAATAAGTATATGTCAGATTGCCCTGGGGAGGGAGGATCTTATGGAAGTGAATGTTGAAAACTAAAAATAAATTAATTAAAAAAAAAGGATTCAGTGAGATAAAACTACATGTACAAAAGCTTTGCAAACCTTAAAGTGCTATGTTTGTATGTTATTATTTTAAAGAAATAAATTGAATTTAGAACCAGACCTTGAAAACCACTGTATTACTAAGAGGAAGGACTGTGTTTGGCTTTCGCTATATCCTCACCACTTAACATAGTACCTGGAACCAGGGGTGGGGAATCTGTGGCTTCAAGGCCACATGTGGTCCTCTAGGTCCTCAAGTGCAGCCTTGGATTCAGTCAAAGGGCCACCTTTGAGGACCTAAGGGGCCATACTTAGCCTGGAGGGCAAAGATTCCCCATCCCTGGCCTGGCACACAGCAGTTGCTTAATAAATGCTTGTTGAAGTTCAATCACATCACTCTTACTAAAAAATATCATAATACATAAATAACTTTTTAAAAGTTGGTTATTTGATATTTATCTCATTCTTTAACAATTTCTGTCCTTTTTGAAGGTTTCATAATGTATAGAATCTATTAGTAAATATTAAATAAGTATACATATATGAGGATGTATTTAAATGTTTTCCATGATAAAGTGGGTGATCAGAAAAGGCTGGAGGCCAACTGTTTTAAGGGTTTAAATGCTGAAAGTCTGTAACCATGCATTCAGCAACCATTTGAAGAGAAAAGAACTACATTTTCCATGAGGCCCAGACCTAGGCTGAGACTACCACTCCCAGAATCCTTTGGGTCTGAGCAGGCTCAGAATTAACCCATAAGTGTCTTTATCAGAACCAATCAGTGACATAGGTAATGTTAAGTCTAAGGGTGGCATTTGGCTCCCGTTGCCTTGACTAAATTAGAACTAGGTTAGATTGAATCAAACAATCACTTCCTTGAATCAATCAAAGCCATTGTGTGGGAGATTGGGTTACGCCCTTTATTCACCTTTGCACTACTCTTATCTGCTTTTGATAGATGGGAATCTGAGGCTTAGGAGAAGGGAAGTAACTCTTGGTCCCAGAGCTGGGAAGACTTTGATGGTATGGTGGAAAGCACTGGATTTGGAAGTATCGGACATGGGCTGAAATCCTGGCTCTGACGTTGGTCAGTTGTGCGTCCTTGAGCAAGTCACTTAGCTTTCTGGGTTTATTTTCCCTTGTGTAGACCCACTTCCTGGTGAGCCAGCCCTAGGGCATTTATACTCCTCCTCTTCAGCTGTGGGCTCACTTTTAAGGACCTGGGTTCAGTCATGGGGGAGCCTGGTCTTTTTTCTGAAAGGAGCCAGGTTCTTTTTGTCATACTCTTTGGTTTTTTCCACCCCAAACTGAGAGCCTAAGGGGAAATATTTTTTTTTTAAGGCCGTTGGGGTTAAGTGACTTGCCCAGGGTCACGCAGCTAGTAAGTGTCAAGTGTTTGGTCTGAGACTGGATTTGAACTCAGGTAGTCCTGACTTCAGGGCCGGTGCTCTATCCACTGTGCCACCTAGCTGCCCCATAAGGGGAAATCTCTTAAAACTTAGGTTTGGCTCATGTTTAGAGTCTCCCTAAAATATGAAATGCAAAGATACTCAATAGACAATATAGACCAGATATAGGACAGCTATTTATTTCCTACACACACACACAAAAAGCCAAAAAATACAGATGATTCCAAAGCACACAAAGATGAAAGCATAAATATGACAGAGTTAACCAATAACTCCCACTATATTCTCTTGGTAGGTTGACACTTTAAACATAAAAACCTGAGTCATGTAGGACGGTCAAATGGGCATTTCACCTTCACCTGGGCTCTAAACTGTCCAAATAACTCCCTCAAGGTCATGCCAGACCAGAGCCTGGGCTCATCTTTAGGTGAGCATTTATCTTCTCCTCTGAGTACCTTCTCTGTAGTAGCTTCAGGGAGAGCTTCCTATGGTCCAACCTGCACCCACGGAGGGACCCGTAGATTTGACCTTTTGGACCTCAGTAAGTTTTAGATCTGGGGGAATTCAAACATAGATTTCTTAATGATACTGCTCTTTGCACTGTAGTCTCAGAGGTGACCATTTCAGGATTTCTCCATCTGGTCTTCAGAGTTACCTTGGTTTCCTTATCTAAAACATGATGAATTTTCAACTGGGCCTTGTTACTCACCCCATCTCTTTCCCTCTTCCTTGGGTCCCATATAGGGATCAATACCTTCAGCAAAGACTTAGATGAAGGTGGAAGACCAGGTTGCCGCTATGTCTGGTTCTGGCTAGCCTGAAGTCTGAGGGTGGGTAGGGTTCTGATACTGATGTTTGTGAGAAATTAATAATGCAGAGGCTCATTAGGATTTCATTCTTGGGTTCTCTCAGGGATGGAGAATTAGCCATTCTTCCTGCCTCGGGGCCCTGCTGCAGCCTCTTGGCACCAGCCCCTTCTGTAAGACCAAGGTATGGGGGTGTGTTAACTCTGACCTCCACTTGCCTTTGCTGGCTAAGGGGGTAGTGTGTTGGGACACAAAACCCAGCCTCCCACTGCCTAGAATGACACTCTGTCCTTTCTTTATCCTATTTCCCTCCTCCCAATTTGCTCTCTACCAGATCTGGTTCTGGAGTTGGATAGGGGCCAGGAGCGTAAACATTGGGGATTAGGGGTATTGGACACTGACACCCCACTTTCTATAGCCTGATTTGGAAGGATGCTTAGATCCTTGAAAAGGACTTTGGGGAGGGGGAGATGGAGAGTCATAACTTCACCCTCAATTTTGAATTCTTCCCTCCTCCCAGATGCATCCCACTCCTAGTCTGCACACAGATTAAGATTGCAGGGGGAGACCAGAGGAGACCGGGTGCAGAAGTTGAAATATGTAAGTTCTCTTCTGCCCCTAGCCTTTCCTATATATGTGACTGTATATTTGAGATGCCGAGGTCCTCTCTGCTGGGGTGATTCCTGCTTACTCAAGGGTGAGCCTTTTAATCTAGGCACCCAGTTCCCCATCACCCCCATTCCCTTATTCCCAGAGGGGGCAGTAGCTTGGCAAAATGCCTTGGGAAATGTGGGCAGAGAGACGGAGACCTTGGGGCAGGAGATTGGGGCAGGAGGCCCAGAGTGGGGGAGGCAGGGGAGGTAGAGGGCAGGCAGGCTTCTTTGTCTGTCTTTGTCTTTCTCCTCTACCTCACCTCCCCCCCACCCCAGTCTGATCTCTGCTCCCGCCCCCTTGATATCCCATACTCCCTGGCTATTTAAACTGAGTGCCCCCTCCGGGCACTGTTCTTGTGCCTGTCATCCATCATCCACCATGCCTCCCAAAAAAGACGCCCCTGTGAAGAGGCCATTGGGACCTTCTGCCCCCAAACCTGCTGCCAAGCCAGCCGTGGCCCCTCCAGGGAAGCCCAAGTCTGAACCAGCTGCTCCGCCTGTCTCAGCAGCTCCCACCAAAACCCAGGAGCCCCCCATTGACCTCTCCAAAGTGGTGGTGAGTCTCCCAGCCATAAGGGGCAAGATGAAGGGAGGGAGGCAGGGATGGGAGATTGGGGAGGCATCTTTAGAAGGTAAGGATTACGAAAGATGATGAATGGTGGGTTTGTAGATGGAATAGGGAAAATGGGGGAGTAACTAATGGAGCCCTATAATGATGTGGGGGTTGCCTTAGCTCCCCCTTAACAAACCCAGAAGCCAGATACTAAATCTGTAGAATGGGGTTATTAGGGGTCTTAATCCAGGCGCCCCAATTTTGCTGCTCCCATGTTCACTTTTCCCCTCTTGTCTCTTCAATATGGTACATAATGGCACCCCTTTACACTTTGAGTGGAGAACAGAGATGTGGGGAACACAAGAATCTGGGAATGGGGATGCTTAATTCCTTGGGACTGTTTCAGAGGAAAGAGAAAGAAGGGGCCAGTGTCCATCCTCTACTCCCACTCTTCAGGGCCTAGGACAAGAGGCTGAAAGGGAGGGTAGGAGCCTGTTGGTCTGAGAAGGGAGGGTGGGGAGTGGGACTTGTTAGACAATCACAGCTGGGGGTGTGGGGGTAAATTTAGCTTTTGTTCAACTGCCGGTTATGTGAGGGATGCAGGGTTGGGAGAGCCAGGGGGAGGAGAACAGGTGGTGCTGGATTAGCTTTGTTTCCCAGGAAGATCTCCCTCCCACAAACCCACTGCTGGTATTCTCCTAAGGCTCGGAGCTGGGAATGGGACTCAGGCGCTCATAGTTCCCAGCTGGGTCCCTTTGGGCCACTCCAGAGAGGCTGCCAATTATAAGGAGTGGGGGAGGGGAGCTGGCCTGGCCTGGGGGTTTCATGACACCCCACCCGTCTTCACACTGTCTTTTCCTTCACAGATCGAGTTTAACAAGGACCAACTGGAGGGTGAGGAGACCATAACCACCTGCCCCCACCCTCCTATCCTAAATCCCCTGTCACAGTCTCGTCTTTCTGTCTCCCTGTATCTCTCTCTCTCTTTTTTTTTTTTACAGCCCCAGAGCTGCCCTCCATATTAGTTCTGTCCTCAGAATTTCTTCCTCCTGCTATGTTCTTCTTTAGTCTATTATTCTGAGCCCTGCTTCCAACCTGGGGAAGGAAGGATCCCGTTGGCTAACTCTAATTCCCTCTCCATTCCCAGACTTCAAAGAGGCCTTTCAGCTGTTTGACCGAATAGGAGATGGAAAGATCTTGTACAATCAGTGTGGGGATGTGATGCGGGCCCTTGGCCAGAACCCTACCAATGCTGAGGTGCTCAAGGTCCTGGGTCACCCAAAGAATGATGGTGAGGCTACAGGAAATGATGAGAACAGGGATGATGGTAGTGGGGCAAAAAAAAAAATGGTGACCAAGGGTTCATAGGATAATATTAAGTACTCCAAGAGTGAGTTGAGTCAGCTAGTCTGAGTGTGTTTACCCTAAAAGTGATTTTGGAGGTAGGGATGGTTCTTTGCCCAGGATCTAGAGATTCTGTAGAATTAATTCAGTTCAGGTAGGGGTTGGACTAGATTCAGGGGTGGGGAACCTTTGGCCTCGAGGCCACGTGTGGGCAGACCTTTGACCAAATTCACAGGGCTGCACTTGAGGACCTAGAGAGCCACATGTGGCCTCGAGGTCAAAGGTTCCCCACCTGTGATGATTATAAATATAAGGGATTAGTGAAAAACAGACAGACAAACTGGAAAGTGACTGAACCAGCTAAGTTCCATAATTATTGCCTCAAATGAATTGATGAATGTCACTGTGTAATTGTGGTTGCTCAGTCATTTCAGTCATGTCTGACTCCTTGTGACCCCATTTGGAGTTTTCTTGGCAAAGATGCTGGAGTGGTTTGCCATTAAAGTTCAATTAGAAGCCAGAGAAGACCCTTAAAAATTGACATATGTGTTACTAAAAGATGAGAATACCAGTGACTCCTCCAAATATAGTTCGATGACATGTTCATGTACTGTAAATAAAGCATTTGTAACATGTGTCATGAAAACAAAATCTACATGTACTTACAGTAAAATTCTATTTGCTAAAAAAAGAAAAAAAGACAGAACTGAATGATCAGATGGGTTGAAGGGGTGGTTCTAATGGGACTGTCCCCTGGCTAGAGATCCCAGGTAATGAGGGTTGGATAGAGGAGTCCCAGGAAAGGGTCATTTAGCATCCTCTGTCCCCACCCTCCACCCATTCCCTCAGAGCTGAACTCCAAGCGTGTGGACTTTGAGACCTTCCTGCCCATGCTCCAGTCAGTAGCTAAAAGCCGGGACCAAGGCACATATGAAGATTATGTTGAGGGACTTCGAGTGTTTGATAAAGAAGGGAATGGTACAGTCATGGGGGCTGAACTCCGACATGTCCTCACCACCCTGGGTAAGATTGGGAGGTTAAAAAAAAGGTGGCTCGTGGGTGGAGGTCACGGTGGAGGAGAAGTTCACTTGAGATGAAGGGGTAAGATCCCAGATTTATGGGACTGAACAAGAGAACAGAACTAAGTGTAGCCAAGGGTCAGGGGTTGGGCTTCATGGCCATTGTGGAGGGTGTGTTATGGGAAAGGGGATTGTTGTGGACGGCCGGGTAGGCATGGCAGTGGAAGTGGCCATTTCAGTATAGTCTAGGCAAGGGAATGACATTTCCTGGAAGGGATAGATCTGAAGAAGCAAGAATAGTTAGTGATGTAGCCAAGTTGGGGAAGACCCCAAACTCCAGGGAGCATAACCTATGAGATTTCTTAATGTTCTGACAACCTGAAGTATAAAATGGGAAGGTGATGAATCAGAAGATGTGGCATCCATTTCTTCTTCTGCCACTCACTGGTTGTATGGCCTCGGGCAAGTCACTTTCATCCTTTGTCCAGGAGATGATGAAACCTGAATATTCTGCTAGCATGAGTGAAGTCATTTTGAAAAAAAGTGCTACCCAAAAGCATAGCATTGATAATATTTATAACAGGGGACATGGGACTGGGAAGGAAAGGGGAAAAGGAAGGGAGAGAGAAAGCTACGGTGGCTCTGTTTGGGGGGCAAGATGAGGAAGAAATATCACCCGTTAACAGTATGGGTGAAGTTGGGGTAGGAGGCTCCAAGTTTATCTGCTTCTGCTAATAGGGGAGAAGATGACTGAGGAAGAGGTAGAGACTCTCCTGGCTGGGCATGAAGACAACAATGGCTCCATCAACTATGAGGGTGAGAGGGAGGAGAGCAAAAAGCAAGAAGGAGGTTTGGGGAGTATGTGTGAGTCTTGGGGGGGGGAGGCAGTGGGGTTGCTGTGGTCCTTGGGAGTGGAGAAATAATATATACTCCAAGGAGGGATGAGAGAACAGGGGTGCTTGGCTCTGACCACCCTCTTTCACTTTCCTTTGGCAGCCTTCCTGAAACACATTATGTCAAGCTGAGGCCCCAAGGTAGAGTGATTCTCCAGCCTTCCTCACCCCTATATCCTCAGCTTCATTCCTACCTTTTTCTCTGTCCCCTTTGGGAGCTTTCGAAACATTAAGGTGCCCTGGAAATATCACTGAATATGGACTTTGGGTTCAAGTGTCAGCTCCGCGCCAGAGGGATCTTGGTCATGTCATTTCATTCCTGTAATCCTGTTTTCTCATCTGTAAAGTGAGATTAACACTTTTTGCTTTATCAATCTCACAGGGCTGTGGGTGAGAACCAATTATTAGTATGGGAAAGTGTTTTAAAAGAAAACAACAAAGAATGTAGATAAAAGCTATTTCTATCAGTTTCCCCTTTCCTAGGAGAGCTGTGTTCACCTCTTCTTGCTTCTGAGGGATGGGGGTGGGGGGTTGGGGAGGAGGGACGGCAGTGTACTAGCTACCCAAACCACCCAAACGCCTCTCTCTCTATAGATCCTCCTTCTCTCCAGCCAGTGTTTTCCTGCATCCTGGGGAGATGAAAGTCCAGTGCCTTGCACACAATAGGCACTTAGTAAATGCCTTGAGAATGCTCCTTGGCTGCACCTAGTGGCATTGAGAGTGGAGAAGGATGGTGTGGGAGGGGACAGACATACTGTGTTATCCCCCTACGCTTGCTTTATTTTCCATAATAAAGTATTGGACTTCTAGTTTCTTGTCTGTTATTTGGAGGAGGGAGTGGGGTTTGTGCCTGTGTGTAAGATTTCATCTTCACTCTTTTGCTCCCCCTCCTCCCCCACAATGATTGGTCCTTGGTCTAGGTTTAGTAAAAAGAGTGCTTCATTTAAGAGTCAGAGCACCTGGTTTCAAGGACCATTTGCTGTGTGGACATTAGGAAAGTCAAATAACCTTAATTTAATTGTTTAAAACATAGCTTCCTTCTCTGTAAAATGGGTGGGGGAGGGTAGGAGAGAAGGGTAGATTAGATGACTTCTCAGATCCCTTCCAGCCCCAAATCTATGATATTCCAGTTGTCCACCTTCCAGGACATCACTCTCTGCCCTGGATATAACAGACAGAAATTGGGCCTTCTGTCCTAGTGTCTAACCTCCATAAGTTATAGAGCTGAAAAGACCAAGGTCTGGAGGTCAGCTAGTCCAGCCCCTTCCTTTTACAGACTAGCAGGAAACTGAGGCCCAGAGAGTTTGGTGACTTGGCCAAGGCCACACAGTTCACACGGATGGGGTTCAGAGGTGGCTATGGCGGGATGGAGTGAAAAGCGAGGGATCTGGAGTGAGGCAGCGGCTCTGGGTTTGAATCCAGACTCTGGCCCAGACTACGTAGGGCCCTATGATTCAGAGTCAGATCCCCGAAACTGAATCCAAGTTCAGGGCTTTTTCCACTGGCCCCTCCAGCCCCGGCGACCCACAGCGGTCCAGCAGGAGGTGAAGGAGCATGCATAGCTCCAGGGCTTCTGATGACATTCCCAAAATAGGGGTAGCTCACATCCCACTTTCTCCTCCCCCTCCCAGTGCAAGTCCAGAAATGCCTGGGATCCGACCTGCCTGATGAATAACCCAAGGAGTTCATCTGCATAAACCTCAGGCAGGGCCTCCGATTGGCTGAATCTGTAGAGGGTGACGTCATGGGACGCTCTACGGGTAGATTGGAGCCGGGAAGAGAGACGGAGCCATTACATACAGCAGCAGCAGTACGAGCGAGCGAGTGAACTGCACGGCCAAGATGGTGGGGCCCTGGAGAGGGGCAGGAAGCGGAGGGGGAGGCCTGGCCAGGGGCGTGGGGGTGGACAGATAGGGAGCCTCAGGGGGTGGTTCCTGATGGGCAGGGGGAGTTGGAGGGCGCCAGGAGGGGTCGGGTAACCTAACCTTAGGGTCTGGGGGTTGCTTTCTGTTTGTTAAGGTTGGGGGCCCACGACTAGGAGCGGCAGGGGGGAGGGACCCAGTTTGGAGTTGGACTGTGCCTTCGGCACCAGCTGGTCCAGTGCCCTCATTTTGCAGTTGAGGACACGGGACCAGAGGAGTTGGAAGTTGTGGGAGATGGCAGGCTTGGGGAGGGGGGAAAGCCCTTTGGGTGTGGAAGCCTGGACGCTGACCTCTCCTCCTCTCTCCTCTTTGTTGGGCCACAGTGTGACTTCACGGAGGATCAGACAGCAGGTGAGTGGCCTCTGACCCACCCTGAAGAGGGAGAGGGGCATTTCCAGGTCTCCCTATCTGCTGGGACCTCCCTCAAGCATCATCCCGCACACCCACCCAGGGGTGTCTGTCTCCTTTCTCCTCCCGGTTTCCTTCATTTTTCTCTTACTGTCTCTTTCCTCTTCACTCTCCTCCTCTTCCTGTCTTTAGATATGGGCCCCAAGCATTGGGTGAGTTTGTTTTCGGGGGTTGATGTGTGAAGATTTTGGTTACATAACCCCTCGTGTGTGCTGTGATGGTTTGGGGACTGGGTGTTAGGCTGCCTGCTCTTGTCCTCTCTCCCTATTAACAGACTTCCTCCTCTCTACCTTATTTGTGACGTTCTACCCTAAGTGTCCACTCTACCCTATTTGCTGGCTTAGACCTTGGGGCAGGGCTGAGGACTGTATGGGGCACTGGGAATTTGAGTGAGAAGGAGCAGGGGCTTGATCTGGCTGGAGCTCTCTGTCCATGGACAGGAAGCCCTGTCTATTTAGAGAATGGGGGTGAAAAAACTGGCTCCTTTGGGATGTCCGGAGGCCTTGGGCTGCACCTACTTCCTTATAAGGGCTGGAACCCAGACTGGGCGGTGGCGCATTCCACTCCCAGGAGTAAAGGCGGGGCTGAGTGAGTTTTGAAGCAGGAGGGAAATTAGAGGGGAATTAGGGGATGAGTACCCCCAATCCAGGCAAGTATCTGGAAACTTAACACAGAATTATGTGGGTCCTCTGAGAAACGTGATCAGAAGTGAAACCAGATTCAGTCTGGTAGAGTTACCCAGGAGTTTGTTTTGTCCAGACCAAAGTGAATGTATTTGGAGCTTTGGGATATGTACGTCCATTTTTGACACTCATCTGTCTCTTGCCTCCTGCCCCCAGAGTTCAAAGAGGCCTTCCAGCTGTTTGACCGAACAGGGGATGGAAAGATCTTATACAGCCAGTGTGGGGACGTGATGCGAGCCCTGGGCCAGAACCCTACCAATGCTGAGGTGCTCAAGGTCTTAGGGAATCCCAAGAGTGATGGTGAGAGAGACCCCCAACAATGTGACTTGGGGGTGCAGTTAGGAATTCTCCAAGAATGTTGCTCAAGGTGGAAACAACTTATCTCTGGAGAGCCTAGTGTATGTGGGGTTACCCAAACTGTACAAGGTTCCTTTTAGCAATTGTTGGAGGGGGAAGAAGGGCAGAATGAATTCCCTTCTCGAGATGGGATATGGAAGATTTTTTCTTAGGCTGTTGGATTTTGTAGTTTAGCTCAACTGGGTTTTTTTTGTCTGTTTTGTTTTTGTTATGGTTGCTGTTACAGAAGAGGGTTCTAAATTGTTACGGGGTTATATTGGAAAATGTCTGATTTAAAAAAAAAAAAAGAAAACCCAATCAAAAAGGAGTCAGTGTAGCGGTGATCTGGCTTCCTTTTCAGAGCCCCCCAGCCCGTGGAATATGGAAAATGGCCATTCTGACATGATGCCACTAATGTTAACCCCCCTTTTTCTCTGGGACAGAGATGAATGTGAAGGTGCTGGACTTTGAACACTTTCTGCCAATGCTACAGACTGTAGCAAAGAATAAGGACCAGGGCACATATGAAGACTACGTAGAAGGGCTTCGGGTATTTGATAAGGAAGGGAACGGCACAGTCATGGGGGCTGAAATACGACATGTCCTCATCACCCTGGGTAAGGCTTCCTCCCACCAAATCAACAGACCTCCAGGTTCCCTGTGGTCCTTGGGGGTCTTTCCCTACTTTCCCCTAGTCTGCTGGTGCCCTGAGAGCTTTGGTCCCCTCTCTACAGGTGAGAAAATGACAGAGGAAGAAGTGGAAGTATTGGTGGCAGGGCATGAAGACAGCAACGGTTGTATCAACTATGAAGGTGAGAAGGGCATGTTGAGCATTTTCTAGGAAGGGTTAGCAGTGTGGAAAGTTGAGGTAGGGTTGTCAATCAATCTGTAGACATCAAGTGTCTGCTTGGTGCCAAGGACATAAAGACAAAAAAGAAAGTCCCTGTCGCCCTCAGGAGATGGTGGCAGGAGAATCTTTCTCCTCCTACAAGTCAGTTCTGCAAGCATTTATTAGCACCCCACTGTGTGCAAGAAGTTGTATCTCTAGGTGGGCTGATGGCTCAGAAAGCACTTTGGAGGCAGTCGAGGGGTAGGGGCCTAGCTCAGATTCAGGAGGTCAGAGGGGGGCAGGAAGAGAGCTGGATGTGAGGGGTGGAAAGTATATGAGGAATAGAATGTCTCCCCTCACATCCTGTGTGACGCCCCACCACCCTATGTCTGTGTCTTGTCTTCACCATTAATGTCTCTTCCTTCCTGCAGCGTTTGTGAGGCATATCCTGTCGGGGTGAAGGGCCCCATGGGGCGGGTACGGCTCCTCCCAGCCTCTCCTCTCTTTCCTTCCAAGTTGACCTTCCCGTGTCTCCTTCCTGATCCCTTCCCTGCCTTCCCTCTCTTCTCTTTCGCTATTTGTCCCCTGCCTTTGCCTCTCACTTCTCACTTTCTCTTGGCATGTTTCTGCATGGACCTGTCTGATTGGGAAGGGGAGGGTAGTCCCCCTGCATAAAGGAAGACTGTCTGGGTATTACTCCATCTCCATGTGCCCCTCAAATTTTGCCCTGGGCTCTGTGTGAGGTCTAGCTTTTTGGTACCCAGGTGTCTGGCAACTTACCAGGCCTGGGACAGTCTTGCTTTAGGGTGCTATCTTGCCCTTGTCCATATCCCTGGGTGAAGGTTTTGGCGATGGGGGAGGGTTGCCTGGCCAGCTTCTGCTACAGTTTAATCCCTTGCCCTTCCTTTTGCTGGGCAGCTTGGAGGTGATCTCCCCCTCCTCCAAAATAAACCCACTGTGTTCTCCCCTTAACCTGCCATGGGTTGACAGTGCCTATAGGTGGTAGTTTGGGGGGGGGGTGCCTTCTCTACCTTTGCTGTGTCCTTGCTGCTCAGGGTGGGATGGGAACTAACAAGTTTTGGGAGGAAAGCTGGGGGCAATGTGGCCCAGTCAAACCCCATAGGTGGCTCTTCTACCTCCAGAGCTGGACTCTGGGGGATATTTCTACTCCTGCCACCTTAGGGGTCTAGATGTCCCACCACCCTCAGCTGAGCCCCTCCCCTGTTTGCCTGCTCCCTAGCTCATCCCCATTTCTTTCTCCACAGAGCTAGTCCGGATGGTGCTGAATGGCTGAGAACAACTCCCCCTTTCCACAAAGAACCCCCTAACTTTTCTCAGTGTGAAAATCATCCTCTTGCCCCTGAAGCAACTAACTACTTTTTCAGGGTTACCGACATCCTTACTTCCAACCCCCACCATGTGTCTTCTTTGGCCAATTTGCTCTCTGCTTTCACCAAATAAACTTGCTATCTGCTCCTAACCATCTGGTTTGTTCTTGTTCTTTTGCCAGAGTGGATGGGCCAAAGGTTTAGCCAGGGGTAGGGAACCTGCAGCCTTGAGGCCGTATGTGGCCTTTTGACTGAGTCCAAGTTTTACAAAACAAATCCTTTCATTAAAGGGATTTGTTCTGTGAAGTTAGGATTCAGCGAGCTGCACTTGAGGACCTAGAAGGCCACAGGTGGCCTGGAGGCAGCAGGTTCCCCACCCTTGGCTTAGGGAAACAAGAGGTGGTCCCAGCTAGCTGCCTTCTAACAGGGAGAGAAAGGAAACAAGACCACACCTCCTGCCTAAGCTTAATAAAAGGCTCAGTGCTCATTCCTGTTCCCAAAAGTTGTTCTTACCACTGCCCTCCCAAATGAATAGGTAGTCGTAGATGAGCTGCATTCAAACTGGGCCAACTATGTCAACCATCCTCAGGTCACAGCAAATGGAATATTTGAGTTCTCGAGTTATCTCCTAATATGGGAAGAATAGAAGGCCTCTAGTCCCTAAAAGGTTCAAAGAAACTAAACTTTGGTTTGGGAGGGACTACACAGGCCTTGAAAAGCTAATCAGATCTGCAGCTCTGTCTACTGGACAAAAATATTCTGCCCTGGGTGGGGGAGACCCCACGTTTATTATCTCTTCAGAGAACTTTGGTTTCTCCAAAAACTTCCAACAAAAACTATCCAGCCCATTCTATTTTTGCCAATCAGTAAAGTCAAGTAACACAACACAGCAGGAACCCACAAGATGTAAGTGAAAAGCAAATTAATTTATAAAAAAAAGGAAAATTTACAGAAGACTTAACAGAAGGTGCTGAGCCACAGAAGGAAGAGTAAGTGTGGGTACATTGTAAATGGGCACATGGAACAAAGGGCCCAGGTAGGAAGGTGTAGGGGGATGCTGGCTCCAGGAGGAGGGCAGATTGAAGAGTCAGGTTTGTCTTTACATCTAGGGGGAATCAAGGAGAAGAACTCGGAGAGTGGGGAGAGCTTGACAGCTATTGCCAACAGCTCTACATTGTACCCCCCCCTTCCCTCCCTGAATTCCCAGGTTCCAGAGATGATCACTT